TGGGACAACAGTGAAGACATTTATTCTTCATTTCCCACCCACCTCTGAGTATGGAAGAAAATGGTTTGACATGTTTTTATGTGCCAACACGTCCTGTTTGTCTTCAAGGCTTGTAGTCAATTACGCTGCTGGGACTCCTGTGTCATCATGCCCCCTGGCAACAAGCAGGAGGTGCCATGTAGACGTCATTTGAAGAAAAATTACGTCATTGAAACCGGTGATGCCGCATTTCACCACTCGTCTCCTGCTTGCAGGTCAACAGTGCCGTTGTTTTTTTTTTTTTCTATAACGTCGAATGCATAAATGGACGTCACGTGTCTCAAAACGCCTGGCCGGTGCAGCCTTTTTCAGCCGTGCCTCCACATCCATTGGCCGCATTCCTGCCTGTAATGCGGCGTTCTGTTACGCATGACACGTTTGCTGCAACGCATTTCTGTGCTTATTGAGAAAAGCCCACGCATGATATCAAAGAGCATCAAAAAAAAAAAAAAAGAAAAAAAAAAAGGGGGTGTTGCCATCATCAATTAAAAGTACATCAAGCACAGAAATAAAAAGAGAAATATGTACACACAAACAAAATAAAAAGAAGGGGGAAAAAAAAAAAAACAGGAAATAATTATTCACTTACAAAAAAGTAAAAAAAAACAAAAAACGCGGCTATAAAATTAAAATTAAAACAGTATTTAAACAGTGAGTGAGGTAAAAAATAAAATAAAATAAAATAAATATAAAAAAATAAAGAAAGGGGCTCGGTAATAACAACACCTTCTGCAGAAAACTCTCCATTCATCCCTTGTGTTGTATGCATAGGGTGTGTCCTATTGCTAGACGTGTCCTAACATTACGATATCCTTCATTCTTGAATTTATTTATCCTTTTTCTATAACATGTAGGGCTACTACAGAACGACGCCACAGGCAAGCAATCGCTTCTCGGCAGAACAAATGTTCTCTCGTTCTCTCTCATACTCCAGGCGCATTTCTGCAAGCGTCCGCACCTCTCGTGAAGGTGACGGCGTTCGCAACACAAACAACGACGGCACCTTCACTGCCAACTGCCGAGTGGCTGAAGAGGCATTACGCGGTGGGCGGCAACGCGGCGGTGGCGGCGGTGGGAGTAAATCCTCCACCGATCCATGACGGCACGCATGGCAATCAAAAGAGGAACTTTTAGTATTCGCGACGCTGGCTTCAGTCGTGCGTCGCAATTTGTACGATATTTGTGGTGAGGAGGAAGGAGAAGGCATGGAGGTGCAGTCCAGCTGTTGCTTCTTCACAGGCGCTGGAGAAAAGGAGAATTTTTTCGGTGAAAAAATTTGAAAATCCTCCATAAAACTGCCAAGACGATCAATTTCCGCCTGAAGTGCTGTCAACTGCCGTTGCTGTTCCTCCACGGTATGAGAGAGCGTTTCAGTCATCTGCTTGAAATCCTCCTCCGTGTCGGATTTTGTTTTCTGAAGTAATTTCGGCGTGTTCTCGGTGGGCGGTTCATCGTCGGCAACAAGTGGATCCGTGGTGGAAAGAATGGGCTCATCGCAGAGCGGGACATCTTGGAAGTCGTTGCTCTGCTTCTCGGGCAGGCAATTTTCAACGTCCGGCAGCGCCTCAGCCTCCACTCGATGAACATTTGTTTTCGGCTCCTCATCGTTGTTTTTGTCACACTGCGCTGGTTCCTGCGTCCCCTTGTCGCCATACTCAAAAAGTTGTGCACGTGTCTCTTCTGTTGGTCCGATCGTCATCGTGAACATCATCTTGGGATCCGCATTAAGTTCCTTAGAACGCGTCTCCAAGTACTCCTCCTCTGTGCCATAGTGCGCCGCTACTTCACTCGCAGCAGAAGCAACACTCTCTGGTTTGTAACACGTGTACAGTCCCTCAAGACGCCTCACAAAATATTCCTTCGTTTCCTCCTCCGTTGGATCGGCGCCGTAATTCTCCCGCAATGAATCAAACAGCTTTTCCCCCTCCTCGGCATATCGACGAAGGTACTCTTCCAGCGCAGGCAGCTTCTCAGGCACCCGCACACCAAGAAAGCTGCTCATGCGTCGTTTGAGGCTGTGAACCGGCACCACATTCTTTTCTTCCACGGAGTCAACTTTCTCAGCCGTCATGTCTTTTATCGTTGATGGTGTTTCCATCACCTCAGCGGGCTGTTCCGCCTTTGTGACCACCGCAGGCTGTGGGTCAACTTCTTCCTGTACCGTTTTACGTGACGCTTCATTGGTGGAGATGCGTGTTGTGTCATGCAGGGGATCGGGCAACGGTCCCTGCGGCTCCGGCCCCATCTGCTTGATGAAAGACATCAACGTCGCCTCCTCTTTGCCCTTCGCACGCTCCAAAACCCTGCGAAGTCGAGACAATCTTTCGGGACGATACGCCAAAAGTTGGCGCGCAAAACGGGACTCCCACACCTTTGCATCATCAGTGGCGTTCTCCGTGAGCGGAGGGGCAGGCGTTTTTGCGGCGTCATTAAGCTCCGGCCCGTAGCGCCTCACCAGCGTCTGTATCAGTTCCTCCTCGGTTCCCGTCCAGTGGCGAAGAATTACCGGCACCGTATCAACTTTATCCGGGCTGTAATGCGCGTAAAATCGGCGAATACGTTCCTCAAAGGCTGCAGAAAAACCCGTCGCATGCGCATCATCCGCAGGGACTTTGGCTGTAGCAGCAGGAGCAGCAGGAGAGGGAAGAGAAGCGCGTTTCGCTTTCCCAGTCTGCGCTTTGGGTGGCTCCTCTGACTTCTTCGAAAAGACCGACCCCATGTTGTCTCGGCAAAAAAAAAAAGACCACAACCAGCACTCTTACAGATAAATGAAGTATTCCTTCGTAAAATAATTGAAATATAAATAAGAATAGGAGTGAGAGAACATATATATATATATAATAATAACAACAACAGTCATGACGCCATGTAAACATTATCGCTTGAAGACAAACACGACAATACATATAGGCATCAACGTGCACGTACGCATGTAGGGGTAGATGGGCAGGCAACAGTACGTAGCAGTCATATTCACAATATTCAGTGTCGATAAGACAGTTCACGTCAAGAAAGAAGAAGAAAAACAACAACAACAACAAGAAGAAGAAGAAGAAGAAGTACAGAGGCATAAAAAAATAATTAAAAAATAATTGTACTACATTCGTTGCATATTCACTTGCTTTATTGGTTTCCGCCTCCGCCATACGAGACGATCAGACAGCGAAAGCTTTTCTTCTCGCCATCGCTGCAGCTCTTCCTGAGAGACCTCCGGCAGCGACCATATGTCCGGATCAACAGTTTCCCCGCAGGTTTGAACGGAGGGTAAAAGCGGCGCAGGTTGAGACGATGGACGCGCCGGGTGTGAGTGAAAGAATGCGTCAAGACGCCGTGAATTCTCTGCCTGCTGCTCTTCCGTAAGACACCACTCCACACTAAATAATCGGATAAAACTCGAGACATCCACCGTACGCTGACTGCCTTCCGCACGGGCAACCGCCAGACCTTCACTGCCACTCAAATTATTGCGTGTATCCTTCACGGAGTCACCCGGTGCCACGGCTGTATCTTCCGTAGACGCCAAACATGGCTTTTCCCCTTCCTGATCAGCGGAACACCCTTCAATGACTGAAGGCTCAGGGCCAAAGCGACGCACAAGTGCCTTAATCAGCTTCGCTTCCTTCCCAGAATACTTGCGAAGAATCATTTCGACATGTGGCACCTTTTCAGGGTCGTAACGAAGAAAAAAGGACGTCAAACGCTGGTGGTAATCGACACGCTCGACGGGTGTTGTGGACGCTAACGGTGAACGGTCATCATGAGCCGGCTGGATGCCCCCCTTAGCGTATTTCTTCTTCAATTGCCTCACAAGCAATTCTTCTTTTCCCTCGTACTTACAAAGAAGGTAGTCCACGTGCACCAGCCTCGATGGGTCATACTTCTGCAGTATCGCCACAGCGGCATCACGATACGCACTTTTGCCATCAGAAGAAGGATGACACTCGTCCTGCAAGTCCCCTGCTGGAAGGTCAACAGCAGGAGCAACGGCACATTCAGGCTGCGGCAGCCGTGATTTGTACTTCTTCAGGAGTGCCGCTATAAGCTTCTCCTCCTTCCCGGCATACTTTTCCAGCATGTCATCCACGTAACCCAGTTTGGTCTCATCGTGCTCATGGAAAAATGCTACAAGTCTGTCACGGTAACTAGGAGGCACTGTCGATAAAAGTGGCACCGCACCGTTGGACATGCAAAAACACAACACACGAGCGCTGACTGAGGCAGAAACCCCTTCAAAAAAAAAAAAAAAAAGAATATTTAAAGAATAGACGCGGTCCTTGTGATGTTTGTGGTGGCGTCACACGTGAGCCTTTCAAAAAGAAAAAAGAAAAGAAATTAAATGTGAAGGCAAACAACAGTGTCACTGCTGAGCGTCATGCTGCCACGTGTGGCGGACATGAAAGAGTAGCCGTGCACATGCACATACAAACAGCCAAGAAGGCATTCGTCCCCTCTCGCTACTGTCGTCGCCCATGCCTTATGCAAAGACAAAATATTAACACACACAGAGAGAGAGAGAGAGAAAAGGCAAACAGTAAAAATAAAACAAAATAAAATAAACATACGGATGTATGCACCCTGTAATGTACCGCCCTTCTTTCCTCCCGCTCCTCTTTTCCTTTCTTTTTTTTTTTTAAGTTTTCTTCTCCCCTTCCCTTCATTCACATAAAATGTCAACGTTAACGCTCATATATTATTATCATTTTCTTCCTCTTCTTCTCATCCTTTCAATGTCCCCCTTCACGGGCGGTGTGGCGATGCACTCGAATGGTTTTGGTCAGCAGTCGCAATGCCGCCTTGACGCTGCTCGCTCTGCCGTCACCTTGCGGGCACCAAATGCCAGGGCGGTGAGGCACACAAGGCATGACGGCGCATCTGCCACCTGAATTAAAATCCACCATTCGCCAGTTATCCCCGTGCAGCATACGTCCGTTTCATTTTACATCGCAGTAATGCAGAGGGGGGGGAGGCCGCACCGATCATACGCCTCGTTGCAGCGAGAAAACAAATGCGCCACAACGCCATTCATGGATGAGACGTAAAAAAACAAAAAATAAAAAAATAAAAATAATAATTTATAAATGCACATAAACAAGAAAGGAAATATGTACGCAAATGAGTAGTTCATTATCGATGTGAATGGGGAAAAAAAAAAAAGTTTTACTCCGCCATGTAAATATTTTATCCTTCATTGACAAAAAAGAAAGAAAAAAAAGAAAAAAAACATCCACGGAGTTATACACATGCTGCCGTCCCAAGCGTACTTACCAAATGCACACACGCACACACACATGTCGATACCATTTACCCGCAGGATCTTCACCTTCTCATTCTCTCTGCATGTCTGTGCGTGCGGCAAATAATCCCGCAAAACAAAACAAAATAACAATACAAATAAAAAACAAATAAAAATAAAAATAAAAATAAGTAAACAAATAACAGTCTCAATATAAATGCCTAAAACGATTCCTCGCAGCGGGAAAAATATATATACATATATATATATGTATTTGGACAAAAATTTCCCGTCACGCAGCGGAAATAATTGTCTCTGACGAAAATAATGACAACAACACCGTGCAGCCACATCACATTATCTTTTCCCTCCCTTCCGGCGTCCGCCCGCCTCGTCCTCACACGATGGCATCGGCAGCACGCACTGCCCACCGTTGCCACCCATCCACGGAAATCCTTCGTGACGTGGGCGTTGTTGTCATTTTTTATTATTTTTTGGCGGAAAAAGGGTTGTTTCCCTCTTAAGCGTCCAGCGTGACGCTCTCCCTTGCCATCTCCTCTAATTTTCGTAGACACCAAACTCCTTCAGCCGTTCATCCTTCAGCTCCGCCCCCACACATTCCGACGGCTGCCGCGGGTTGCGGATCTGATACTCCGTGCTCACATCCCGCGTCATGCCCTTCACCGAGAAGGTAGGCATGTTCTGGAACACCCTGCACTCCCTGTCGATGCCCTTGAACTCCACCCGGATGCCATTTCCAGCGTACGTGTCCATCAGCAAGCCGAGAACATAGGGCTTGGAGATGGAGTTGTCGTGGACACGGGGGATGACAAAGTACGGGTTCCCCTCCGGCTCAAACGTGTAGCGCATCGCAACGTCGCGGGCAAAGTTGAATTTAAGCTCGCATCCGGGCATCTCCACATCCAAGCTGCTTGTGCGATCCATCTTTTCATGCTTGCCACCATGACGGGAGACACTGATGAGCATCGCTGCGTATTCAAGATCATCGCCATCACGTTCATCCTCCTGAGAGAGAACAATGTACGCATCCACGGGATCTGAAACGTTTATTCCAAGACACACAGTCGGATAGCCATCGTTAAAATCGCCACGAATGCGGTAGTCGTACCAGTTGCGCTTGACGTGACACACACCACCGCCAACAAAGGTTGTCAAGACATCCCTCCATTCCATCCAAAAGGTGTTGTCAGGCTCCGTTGCATCCATGCCGTCAGGGA